TAACAACACCCTCGCCCCCCGCACACTGACACAAGACTGCCAAAATCAACACGCCTGCTGTAAATCTCCTGGTTAATTTCACTTGCTGGGGGCACACCAGGCTTTTCTGAATGTACCATCTGTCAGGACAAATTCCCTTGAAAATCAAGCGTGTAAAACACATCAGCGATGGAACTGCCGTTGCTTAATTGCAAGCATGCAAAATGGCAGAATCTTTTTGGGAACAATTTGAAGGAAGCCAAACCAGCTCTCTCCCGAGGCAGTAAAAATTCCACTGGGATAGTATAAACGGGTGAATTTAGGGCTTAGACCGCTTAGCGCTGCCACAGCCCATACATGCGCTGCACCTCGGCAGTGCTCACCCATGCATCTCAATCCAGACCTGCAGCAGCCCCTGCGTTTCCGGCCTGGGGCCCTCCCCCAGCAGGCGCTGTCCGGGACGCAGCCCGGAGTGGGTTTTATGAGCTGCGGGAAGAAGATGAGACTCCCCCATCATGGCTGTGACCCGAGTTCTGACCTGAGCCCAGACCGTGGGCACAGAACCCCTCCCTTTTCCCAGAGTGGGTTGTTCCTGACGGCGCTGCAGCCCTTACTCCAGGGAGAATCCTGGCCCTCCAGACCTGCAGGTGGAGCGCAGGCAGACAGCACAAGCGCCTGCGCAAAGTGGTTACCGTGCATTGGTGGTTGAGGATGCACACAAGGGTCGTGGTTCCCTGCTTCAGGGTGGGGCCGCTGTGCACATGTGTTTGCTGGGCATATGCCTGTCCCTGAGCAAACCCTGCTGCACACTGGACATGGAGCCTAAGAAGTTCCTATTGGCTCCCCCCCCCCCCCCCCCGCCTCCTTGCAGCTGCACAAGATGCTCCCACTTACTCCAAATAGCCTTTGGAGGCTGCACCCACTTGCCAGGGGGAGGTTTCGCTGGAACGCTTCCCCCACCCAGGTTGAGGCGCCGAGTTCCCCAAGCCTGAAGATTCTCACCCCCGGGGCGGCAGGACATCCCACTGCTTTCACATCATAGGCGTTTGGGCTGAGTCGGGTCCCGGATCAGGCCCAAACCATTTCATGAACAGTTTCTCTTGCCTCGAGTGTGTCTGGCGGACAAACGGAGCTTCATTAATTCATCCTCATTAAGGCCCAACCTTTTTAAAAGTGGGACCTCAGTTCTTGGGGCCAGGCCGACTTTCAGCACCCAGCGACATCAGCTGCAGCTGTGGGTGCTCAGCCCTTCTGAAAGCCAGGAGCAAGTGGGGACCCCAGAAAAATGAGGCACTCCCCCCCCATCCGAGGCCTCTTCTGGAAAAAGTTGGCCTTAACTGAACAGTTGTTCCCAGGAGCAGAAGCTCAGCCGCATGGTTTGTACAGCGTGAGGTAGCCAAGCATTTAACTTTCCAAAAGGTTTTGCTCTTAGACTAGACTTCTGGGCACACTTTACAACTAGCCAACTCTGTCCATCTCCTTCCCTTTCCTGCACATCAACACCAGCAAGCTGCATTGGTTTAACCCTAAGGTGCGATTTTTTAAACCAAACTGGTGCTAACGGCCACGGGTACACTCCTATTTCGTTTAAAACCAGGAGGCTTATTTTCTTTGGTCTAAGTCAACTGGGAGCAGGTGTAAACTAAACCGCTGTAAGTCCCGTTGACACTGAAAGAAGCGAGTTCCCACCATTTCCATTGATTTTTTTTTTTTTTTTTTTAAAACAACATAAATCAAAGAGGTGTAGACAGGACTCAGTGTTGCTACACAACGCAGTGACTAGCAGGCTCCGGGATAAAGCTGCGCTACAGGTTTCTGCGGGAGAAGTCCTGCAAATATTCATCAGGAGAGAGATGTTGAAGCAGACCTCTCTCTCCCCACCGCTACTTTCTTTCCCTACAAATAACTCCCACGCTACCCACGAGATATTCAGCACCTCCAACCCAGCTGGTGCACTGCCAGTGCTGTAACACTAAACCTGCACCTAACAAAGCCTCAAGCCTAGCAATCGTGACACCATATTTCATTTTAATGTGACATGTTCCTCTTGGTTTTAATCCCCGGAGCATCAATAGTATATTTTTGTTGTTGCAAAGCCTTGGTGAATATTTACTTCCTCCTTATAAAAATGGCATATAGCAGCATACCTCAGACAGCCCAGAGATAAAATGGGGTCCTTGCCACCTGGCCAGCAGCAAGCTAAAGGGCTGCGGGGGGGTGTTTGTGTGTGAAACTTCTTGTTCTGTCCTGTGTTTGAAAAGACAGCTGGTGGGGGTGGGGTGAGGATTGCTTACACGCGTGAGCCCAGACGTCGATTACCCTCTCTGAAGGCAATGGTTGCATATCAGTAACTGAGGGCAGAATTTCACCCCTGAGCGGGTGTTAAATGTAAATTTAACAGAGCGGAGAGGGGAACAGATCAAGATTCTGGTTCAACACAAATGAAGGACACATTCATCTGACGGAAGCGACTGTGCAAAACTCTGCTTTGCACCAGCCGAACGCTAACCTATGCAAGTTCAAATCCAGGGGCCAGATCCTCCATGGCTATGCAGCTTGTGGAGCTATTGCCCCCAGGGTAAATGTTTCCTAGGCTGACTGAGGCGCTCTGTCCGCCCCGTTGCACTTATTTTGCGCTGCTGTAAACAACCATGCCCAGGGGTGGGGTTCTAGGGAATACGGCCTGTAGCACTGTGGGCTTTGGAGGCGTGGTGCTAGGCGGAAGGATCAGGGCTGGCTACAAAGGGAGGGGGGAGAAACCTTGTATTTGAGGCACAGGACTGGGAGTGGGGAGGCTCCCAGCGGGAGCTTGGGCACAGCCGTAGCCAAAGTTTTCCAACGACTCCCGCTCAGCTGGGCTTTCACTTTTGGGTGCCCGGCTTGAGGCACGTCAGCACCCAGGGAATGGAGTCGGCCCAATGAGAACCAACGTTGGAAACCACTGGCTTTAACTTCTGCAGGGCTCGGTTTCCTCATGTGTAAAATGGGGGCGGGAATGATTTGTAAAGCGTTCAGACACTGGGGTGACAAGTGCCACTAAAATGCCTCGGACTGACAAGAGAACAAGGTGAGAACTGGAGGGAGGCCTGGCTGTGTACCTGGTGAGCTTTCTTCCTCCAGAAAATGTGATTTACATACTTCCCCTCTGAAATCTATACGGCCATAATGCAGGCGTCGTTTCTCTAGCACTCCACAGCACTGGAGAACAAACATTCAGCTCCCCTCGCTGCTTCAGAAGAGGTCACTCCCATCTCCCCAGGGCTTCCTGTTCTCCCAAAAGCACCATGTCACCAGAGACCAGGTCTAGGTTGCTGGTTATACTGGTGCAATTGGAGACCTACTGGCGGTTTAAAGAAAAAAATGTCTGTTCTGTCTTCCCCCCAATCAGACCCCTTAAGCCACGGGGTTTCCCTATTCCCTACAGTCACTCTGCCGGGGTGGATTGGGGATGAGGAGCAGATCTGATTAGCATCAGTAGATTTCTCTACAGGTGAACCCAGCAATTACCATTTGCTCTAGCCTCCAGCATGTGATCCTCGCCGACCCAGCTGACGTATTTACATCTATCGCCATAGTATCTTGGCACCATGGCTCCAGACTCTCCCAAGCACTTTACAGCTCCCTTCACAGGTGTGGAGAAGCTGGGCTCTGCTTTCTGAAGAGAGTTAGTCCAGATTTACACCACTGTAACTGAGAAGAAAATTTGGCCCGGCAGTATCACCGCTCAGTCCCCCAGAATCCGAACCCACCCCCCAGTGGTGACTAAATTTTAGAACCAAGCACACCCCAACCATGCCTGGCATCTGTCAAGATTTTAGACAGAGTTGTCAAATATCCCTTAGCCTCTCACTTGTACCTTCTTTAGACAACATCTGCAGCGTCAGAAACGTCCACGCTCAGAGCAATGGCAAAGTAAAGCATCCACCTTGTAATAACTGATGGCTAGCAGCTTGTAAATTACAACCCCAGGAGTCTTGCGAGCCAGCCTTCGCCCAAGAACATCAACAGAAAACAGGCACGTGGGAGTTAAAGGTCTCGCTGAGCAGCCAAAGAGAGAAAGCCAGTGGATTCAATAGAGCCTGTGTGTGTGTGTGTGTGTGTGTGTGTGTGTGTGTGTGTGTGTGTTTGTGTGTGTGTAATAACACCACACAAAGCATACGTACACCTCCGCAATATTCCAGTAGCTGTTTCAGTCACAGCACCATGAATGCTAGAACAGAACTCAGAATCTGTGTGTGTCTCTGCAGATTAAAAACGTGCAGATACTTTCCATGGGAAGGATGCTGCTGCTAATCTCTGATGCCTCTGTCAGCCTCTCGCTAAAAGTCCCTGCCATATTCCACTAGAGGAAAACAACAGAAAAGCAATGGCTGTGTGACTATGGGAACCCACCACTAGCCCAGGACTGAAGATGGCCCATGCCGCCCGCTGGAGCAGTGTTTATAGTTCATTTCAGGTGGAAGAAGGGAAACATTATACATTTGAGGGAGAGGAGAAAAGCTTTTTTATGGCAAGTTGATTTAAGCAGGGGGATGGAGGGAGGGAAAGTGGCTGTATTTGAAGCTGCTCTAAGGTCTGGGATGTGAGAAGTAGCACTGGATAGATGGACTGGTGAGCAGAGTCCAGGTCAGGTGATCAAAGGTGCACCACAAATATAACTGCTCACGTATATACCACCATGTATCCGACTGCACAGGTGTGTGTATAGAAACAGATTTTCCAGGCTGCCTCAAGGCTTCAATTTTAATGGGAATTGGGTTCCAAATCTCTTAGGAGATCTAAGTCCTATCTGTCCATCCTCTCTCTCTCTCTCTGTCTGTCTGTACTGGGGCTGGGATATTTTCCTTCCGATGTGATTTCTTTCATTCTGATCTGTTGCTTCTCCGATGGCAGGAAAAGCAACTTGTAAATAAGTACTAGTCTCATAAAACTAGGGGAGCTTCAGGAGATTAATTCTTAAAAAAATAAAATTTTACTAGTTGGGTAATAAAATGAAATATCTTTCATGTCCTAGTGGAGGATCTCTGTGTGTGTGTGTGTGTGTGTGTGTGTGCTCTGATTCTTAAGACCTCTCTCTCTCATTTTCAGCTGAGTCTCCCGCTTTGCAAAGAAAGAGACATGAATAGCTCTGTCTAGACATATATGATCTATGCTGTATGGAGCATGTTGGTATGTGTAACCAAGTCTAGCAGAAATGCCTCCAAGTGCTGCCCTCAGTTACACATGTGCAACTCTACTGAATTTGCCCATTTACATGGGTGTGGTTAGAGATGTGTGAACATGTTCTGTATGTCCAAACGCATCCCTGGGGGTAACACCAGTGCAGCCAATGCAGTTGCAACAGGAATGAATTTGGCCCATGACTTCATGTTATATATTTAAACACACGTGTGTGTGTCTGTTTTTTCCATGTATGAAGTTGCATTTGAGCAGCATCTTTCTGAATATTCAAAACCTACCTGCCTTCTGCTGAGAGGCTACTCCTGGTCCAGGCCCCTGTCCCCGCATTACCATCCCCTAAGACAAGCAAACAAAGACAAACTACTCTTGACCTGACTTGCTATGTGCTACTGCCATATAAAGGAGTGGGGAGAAGGAGGAAAAAGGACAGCTGAGAAGGGCAATCCTGGAGTCCTCTCAGATGCTTGTCTGAAGGTCACCATTGAGCAGAGTCCTTTGAGTTTCCGTGGTCTCATTTAGCCTGGATTTGTCCTGCTTGCTGTCGCTCCTGTCCGCATCATCCATGCCACTGACCTTCACCAGGCAGAGAACGTTCTGAAAGCTCTTCTTGAAGTTGTCGGACAAAAAGGCATAGAGGATGGGGTTGGCACAGCTGTTGGCATAGGTGAGGACCACGACGAAATCGAACATACCCTTGAGGAAGGGCGTGGGGTTGATGAAGACGGAGACGGAGGAGACGTTAAATATGTAGAAGGGAAGCCAGCAGAAGATGAAGACTGCCACTACAATGGAGACCATCCTGGTGACTTTCTTCTCTGACTTTTTCCTCTTGGAGGAGCCCACTCTGATCCCAGAGGACTTGACTTTGATAATGATGAACAAGTAGCAAAGGCAGATAATGGTGAGGGGCACCAGGAAGCCCAGAATGAAGGTATAGATGATGAACCCTGTGTACCACGCGCTGGACTTGCCTGGCCAGATGATGGTGCAGCTACTCCTTCCATGGGTGTTTTGGATCCCGGCATAAATCATGATGGGCATAATGACCAGAAGGGAAACGCCCCACACGGCCACGTTGATCATCTTGGCCGTTCTGGGCCTTCTCCACTTGGCGGATTTGATGGGGTGGACCACAGCCAGATACCTGTCGATGCTCATGACGGTCAGGCAGAAGATGCTGGTGAACTGGTTGATCCCATCCACCGTCATGACAATCCGGCAGATGGCTCTGCCGAAGGGCCAGTGGACCAGAGCCACCTGCATGGCCAGGAACGGTAGCCCCAGCATGAAGAGCTCATCTGCGATAGCCAGGTTCAGGATGTAGATGTTGGTGATGGTCTTCATCTTGGCATAGCGGAGGATGACGTAGATCACCAGGGTGTTGCCGCACAGGCCTATGATGCACACCCCAAAGTAGATGAAGGTAAGGATGGCGTTGCTGGTCAGGTCAAAATGCTGGCCCGTAGTGTTCTGGGAGGCGTTGGCAGACATCTCCGTGGAGAAGTTGTCGAACTGGGAGGCCGAGGAGAACCAGAACTCAGTGACATTGGGCAGCTCGTACGCCAGATCCATGGTGCCGTTGTTCACGGGGCAGGTAAAAGTCAGATGAAATGAGTTCTCATCTTTGTTTGTTTAGGGGAGTGGGGCAGAGAGATCTAAAAATCAAACAGAGAACAAAACAAGAGTAAAGAAGCGCCTTTGTTATTGCTTAACCCTCCTGCTTCAGGGCTTAAGACAACTTCTTGCTGATGGGGTTGGGGGGGGGGTCATCAGAGAGGAATGTTCCCTGGAGACAGTTTCTCCCATGACTACCTCTTGCAGTTTTTCTTTACCTTCCGCTGAAGCCTGTGTCCTATTCAGGAGGCTGACCTAGCTAGACCACTGGTCTCAGGCAGGTTAGAAATTTCTTCCTTCCTTCCTGTTGTTTTTGTAACATCTAAAATATTACTGGCCAAACCCCGTCCTGAGGAAAACCCATCGACGGCAGTAGAGGTACCCCAGGAATGACGTTGGCCTGGCAAATCAAATACAGTAGTAGCATGGACAAGCTTTAGTTCAATGAAACCAACTAAAATGTGCCAGCAGTTTTGATGATGACCCAGGAGCTAAGAAGGAACTGTTGCTGCAGCCGGTTCCTGTGGAAAACCTGTTCTGCGCCCTTTCGACTGCTCAGGAAAACGCATGCACCAAGGCAAATCGTTTTCGTTTTTTTTTATAAGTACCCTGAACAATCTTGCCCGTTTTCCAATTGCACTTCCTCTCCCTTCGCTCCCCCCCAGTCCACCATCCCATCCTATCGAACTCCCACAGACAGTCCTCTCCAGCAGCAACTTCAGCACCGCCTGTCTACAGCCGTCTGCTACTCAGTCCAAGCACGAGCCCCTTGCTAGGCTAGTGTGCATTTGCTCCAGCTGCGCTGTGCCAGGAGCAATAGGACGCTGCTGGATGTCTTCATTGGCACCTTCAGCAGAAGGGCCACCGCTGGCAGAGAAACCCCTCCAGGCTCCTAGCCCTCCGGACATCTCTTGTGCAGATCCCCGGGGCCTGAGGGCTGAGCCCCCCTGGGCTTGGCTCAGGGAGGGAGGGGCTGTTCCCTGCCTTGGGCACTGGCTCCTACCTCGCCTGGGGCAGGGGATTAGTGGGGAGAGGCGGAGGGTCAGGAAAGCCAGCGTGGGGCGGGGGAGGGATGAGAGGGAATGAGACCTGATGGCTGGGGGGGACACGAGCTCGCTGGGGGGCAGTCTCCTTGCCAGAGCCGCTGCTGAGACCAGAGGAGGGGGCAAGCCTCAAAGGGGTCAGTGAAGATGGGGAGGGAGAAGAATGGAAAAGGTGGGAGGGGGCACAGAAAACATTCAAAAGCCCCCCCCCCCCAAAAAAACACACATGCATAGTTTCCCCTCCACCCCCACCAGGAGCAAGTGAAGGACTCTGCAAACTCCCCCAGCTCCTGGTAGCAAACCGAGACCCATTCCCTAAAGAGCCCCCCACCCCCGAGCTATTCCCCCAAACCAGAGCCCCCCTCCCGCAGCTACTCACAGGCTCCTGAGCAGGGAAAGAGCCGGCCAGCCCCCCTCTCCCCCTTTGCACCAAGCCAGGCTGTCCCTGGCTCCAAACAACCGGGGGGGCTGTTTCTCCGGAGCCCCCCCAGAAAGCAGCAGCGAAGTCTGCGGGAGCCCCCAGCCTGGTCAGATCTCAGCCCTGCCTTGCAGCCTCTCCCAGAGCCGCCTTCCCCCTCCAGAAGTTTTCACCTGCTGCAAGTCTGGCAGCCCCAGCCCGGCTCCCCTTCCAGCTCACTCACCTTTTTCTGGTCCTGGGGGGCGTTTCTCCTGCCGCAGCCCCAGCCCAGCTCTGCCCGGGGAGACGGGAGCTCCGCGGCTGCCTGCCTGGACGAGGCAGCGGGCTTCAGGCTCGCACCCAGGTGGAGCTAACGCCGCAGGAGCATCTCCCAAGCGCTCCTCCAGCAGCAGAGGCGAAGCGAGACCCTCTCCCCCCCCTGCCCTGCCCCTGCCCCTGCCCCTTCCCCACGCACAGCGGCTGCGTCATGCAAAGCAACTGCTCTCTTTGCACCAGTGCCCAGGCTCTGTGCCGGGGGGGGGAGCAGCTTCTCTGATCGGGGGGGCTGAGCTTTGAAGCACGCAGCCCCCTCCCCTGCCCCTCCTCCCCGCTGCAGAAGGGAAGGGGGCAGGTTTGCCCTGCAGGAGGCAGGCGGAATTGGACGTGGGAAAATCCCTCGGCTCTGCACGGGGATTTAGCAGAGGCAGGGCTGGCATGTCCCTGCCGGGGGGGGGGGGGGGGGTGATGCCAAAGTGGCATGCATTCGTGCCAGTGCAGCTGCCGCGCCGCGTGTGCATCTCACAGCGGGTGGTGTGCTCCTGCCCAGACGCAGCTGCATTCTTGGGAGGAGGATGACAACCCCGGGGGGAATCGATGCAGGGTGCGTTGATCTGGACCTAGGGAACTAAAGGGTGGTCCCCCTCCCCATGTGGCCCTAACACAAAGAGAGGGGGAGGGGAATGCAGCTCTGGCTGCTTTGCCTCAAATTCAAGCCGCTTTTAAAACCCAAGGGAAAGCAATTTTCTCTCCAAGAACGTTGTCGCCCCCACAGCAAGCCCAGCATGCAATAAACGAGCCGCGTTCCTCTGAGCTATGGGTTAATCTGCACAATTGTTTTGCCCCCAAAGAAGGAATTTGTTCCAAGCAATCGCTGAGCGGCTAGAGCCCCCGGCAAGCTGCTGCGGAGCAGAGGGGGTTGGTTTTATTGGGGGGACAGGGGGTGAGGGGGCTAAGGGAGATGTGCAGCATTGCAGAAAGGGAAGGTAGCCGTGAGACCTACATGCACCAAAGACAGGGGAAGGATGGGGTGGGAGGGCCTCAAATGAGAGACGCACCCAAGTAGGGAGCTAGGTTTCCCCTGCAAGAGGCACTTGTGAAGATGGGCGACAAGCCTGTAGCCAGCGCCGGTTGGATTTCCCAAGCAGGCTCTGTTCAGAGTGCAGCAGATGATGGACCCGTTGGGTTTGTCCATTTATGGCTTCATCTCCCCCTGGACAGAGCTGGCCCGTCTTGCAAACTCATCCCTGTAGTGTGTATCCCAATTCTCAAGGACTTCTGTTCCCAGGAGCGGCCGGCAGCACACGCTGAGGCAACGGGGAGTGTAAAAAAGAGAATTTAGCATCGATTTCACGATGGAAACGGGAACTGGCAAAACCCTTAGACAGGTGAGCACCAGGCTGGTGTGGAGCAAGGCAGTGTGGTTGGGTGAAGGTGGAAAAACGTGAATGAAGGAGGGTGAGATTTTTTCCAGGATCGGTTTTTAAAGATGAACCATTGAAGGGAGAGCGAATCTCATCAACTTTCTCTGCTTCTCTGCGTTGGAGCTTTTAGTTTCACTAGTTCAGGCTCTTTGGTCAGAACACAGTGTCGTCTGTTTCTACAGGACTTTTCCCTGATCTGAGCAAACGGGGATCGGAAAGAAAAGGCCTCTGAGAAGAGCTTATATTGTTTATCCACGGGAGAGCCATCAGGCCTGCTGTTCCGTTCCATCCTGGCTTGCTTTCCTTTGGGTGTGGTTAGTGCAGGGGACTGAGACGAACCAAAGCTCCTGGGACAGTTGATTCCCAGCTGCGGGACACAAGGAAAGGTCCCAGCCTTGCATGCGTGCTCACATGATTTGTCCTTGCTCGCTGCAGCAGACATGCTGACTTCAGCAAGGTGCTTTGTGGGTGTAGAGGATGCAGGATCCGGCACTGAATCACTCACCCTCCTTGTGCCTCGACTTTCACCTCTGTCGAGTTCTCTCCCCTGAAGCGGGTGTTGTGAGACTCCATTTCGTTTCATTATTGCTTCCAGATTTATTTGAGGCCAGCGCCATGACTCTCCTTGGCACCAGGTTTAAGACAATAAACCCAGACGTGCGGGGAAAAACACACTGATGCGTCTGCTACCGCTGGAACTGCCTGCTGCAGCAGGACCGATCAGACCAACGTGTCACTTAAACAGTCTTGATGGCCCTGAAATGGGGAAGTAATCCCAGCTGGGAAAGTGCACAGACAGCACCCTGGCCCCATGAGTTCAACTCCTGGGGCTAACAAGGGGTTCCAGGTCCCAGCTGTCCTGGCGAGAGCACAGGGAGAGGTGGAGAGTGTGATGCAACCTTTGCAAAGTGCTTTGAGATCTCTGCCTGGAATGTGTGATGTGCTGAGAGCTATGGATGGGCAATCTGTCTTGCACCAGGAGTTAGTTACCAAGTAACAATGACTTGAGCAGGGTTGGGGGAGTTAACCTCTGCTCTGGTTTGTTGGAGAGCTTGGATGCAATAAAATAATAGCTACTTCCCTGCACCCTCCTTCATCGCTTATCAAAGAGACAAGAGAATGCAGGAAATGAAGAGCAGCTTGGACCAAAGGGCCGGGTGATTAACCCAGAGAGGGGCTGAAATTCCCACTTGTGGTTGGAAGTTCACGTCCCAAGGCAGAGCTGAAGACCTTGGGGTGCAAAGGAAAATCATTAACAGTCTCAAATCCCAAGGAGGATGGAAAAATCCATTCCCTGAAATAAACAGCCTGGAAATAAATATCCCAATTAGGCTCATAAACGAGCGCAGGGTATCAGGGATCTGAGAGAGCAGATGGTGCAGCTGTCAGCATCCTAGTGAGAGGGTTATTTGTACCTTGCTGAGTCCCGTGTGTGGTGCTTTAGATGCTGTCCTTGATCCAGGCAGCTGCTCTGTGGGGAAGCCAAGGCCAGGCGCTGACGTTTCCTTGGACTTAGCGGAAGGCGGTTTGCACATTGTTGTCACCCGCCCCAGCCAAGGGAAGAATCTTTCCTTTCCATTCGGCATCAGTTCGAATGACCAGGCCGATAGCAGCGGCTGGACACAGGTATGGGTGGGTGCCTACGCCGTGCAAGCAGCCCTTGCATTGCAAACCCCTTTGCCAATGCAGCCCTGCAGCCACCTCTGCTGATCCAGGGCTGGGGCTCTCTGCTGCATTGTCAGTGTCAGTGTCAGTCCCGGCCCCACAGGCCTCTCAGGAGCAGACTGCTAATGGGAACTTTCTGAGAAGAGGACAAGCTCGATGACCACACACTGCTGCCTTCTCTGGTGACTTCAGCCAGAGCTGAACGTAGGGCTCCCTTGGAGGTCAGCACAG